GAAGGGCTCAGGCTCTCTCTGGGTCAGGTCTGGCAACTTCTCGCTGCTTCTGAATCATCTCTCCCTTCCCCTACCACTCAGTCCGGTTCCTCAACTCTGCCTTTGATGTTGAGGGCTCCCCGATTGCCATATATAATCAAATCACTTGTTTTTTCGGGTCTTTGTTGTAAAAGGGTCCACCGGAAGTGTCTGACTACTGTGCCATCTTGGCCCCGCCTTATTGAGCACCTTTTATGGACAAAGCAGTGTTACAGATGGTGAGAATAAAATAGTGAAGAAGAAAAGACCCCTCTCTTGGAATTTATATTTTAGACAGAAGAGATAGGCAATAAATAAGACAGTAAATAAATAATTCTGATAGTGATACATGTTATAAAAAATAAGCAGTGTAATGTGATAGAGGGTAGTGGGAGTTGAAAGGGGGTTGCTGAAAAAGAAGCTCTTTCTAAAAAATAGAAAGAAAGAAAAACAAAACAACAAAAAAAAAGAAACCTTCACTAAGGATGGTAAAATGATGTCATCACATACAGTCAAAGGAAAATTCCTTCAAGCAGAAGGAGCAGCATGTGCAAAGGCCCTGAATTTGGAATGGGCTTGCTGGAGGATAGAAGGAAGGCCAGTTAGGCTTAAGAGTAGTGAAAGAGAGGGAGAGTGGTATGTGTTGAGGTCAGAGAGGTGGGTATGGGTTAGATCACGTGAATTCTGGTAGGCCAACCTGAAGAGACTAAGAAGGAAGTAGTGAAGATGCCATTGTAAGAGGCTAAAAAAAAAAAACCGTTGCCGTCAGGTGGATTCTGACCCATAGCGACCCTATAGGACACAGTGTAAGAGGCTACGTGAGAGAAAATCATGTCTTGGATTAGAGTGTCACTGCAGACAGAGAAACGGTGAAAAATAAACCCAAAAGGATGCATTTTGAAGGCAGAAGTGCCAAAAGATGACTCTTGGATTTGAATGTAATTATCACAGAAGTACTCAAAGATAGAGGTATTAGAGTGTTCACTGCATGGCTTGTATTAGGGAAAAAACTGGAGCTGCCAG